GATCCTTTATTTGTAACTTCTAATGATCACGTGGGGGTGATCATTTTCTTTTCTCAGAGATCCTGTACTTATAACCTGTAGTGATCATGTGAGGATGATCACTTTTCCTTTCTCGGAGCATGCACCACTTGTAACACCTGAGCCCATAGAGAATTATGTTTGCCACCTCAGGTATTAACAAAATGACTCTTTATTAATAATTTAAATAAATACAATAATATGCTTGGTTTAATAACATTAAATAATAAAATAAATAATTCATAACAAAATTCGTCCAATTTCTCTCTCTGTCCTTTCCAAAAGGTGATCTTCACGCCCTTTTATGTTTGTTTTTGTGTAACTAAATTCATAATTTCGATTCATGGATTTAAATTATTAAAGTATTTCCATTGTTTTAAAGTATTTCCATTATCTTAATTTTGTATCCATTTGATCATCATGAACTCCTGAATTATGATTTATAATATTAACGTAGTGATCAACAAATTAATCACTTGACACCTCAGATCACTTGATTTCATCCAATTTAGTATCTTTCGGATCTTCATTTATCCTTTAATCTCGTGACTAATAGTTTAAGGTCATCACAGACCAATTATCCTTGATTCTCATGACTAATAGTTTAACGACTTTTCGGTCCAATTAAAATAAAAATAAAAATAAGTTAAAATTTTATACACTAAGACTAAATGTAATACTGCGCCCCACAATTAATAAATTTACTAGGTATACTACGGCATTACAGCGTTAAAATCAAATATTTCACATAATATATTGAAATTAATTTATGTAACATTCTTTGAATATTAAAAGTGGCATATGAATTATGTACAATTGATAAATTCAAGAATCTCTTTCATATAATCCAGAATTAATATGTATTACTTATCTCCTGGCTAATTAAGTAAAATTTTACTATTCAAATTAGCCAGGAGATAATTTAAAATAAATCTTGTTTTCGTAGACATTTTACATTTAAACCCAGTGGACTTTAAATATATAAATATTGCAAATTCTTTCACGTGATAAAATAGAGATAATTATATAATTATGGAAATAATTTTAAAAAAGAATGTTTAATGAAGTGTAACGTTATTAGCTTTACTAGCATTTGCTATTTATTACATCAGGTTTATTAGATGAAAAAACATGACTTATATTATATCTTTCATTCAAGTAGATTTTTTTTTTACAATGAGAATTTTAAAAGTCCATATTTTTTTTTGGTGGAACTGAAAATGGAAAAATGTATTTAAAAATTATTTGAAGTGAGCTCTTAAATAGCGTTGGCTTCTTTGATTTATGACATCTTTTTACCCTTAAATCTCACTAAGTATTACATGAACTATTTTAGAAAGAAATTATATCCAACAAAATGACATTATTGATATTATTGGCGGAGTAATTTAAAAAAGAATTTTCTACAGATGATAGTAAGAATCCAAATATTCATTTAAATCTGCATTAAGATAGAAATTTTTTTTAATTCATTCGAGAGCCGGAAGCAGTTACGGATTATTATATACTCTGTATTCACATTATCGAATATTCTATATAGTTTAATTGAAGATGAGCAAAATACGAATTATTTTAATCCTCTTTTTTACAAGAAAAAAAAAATACGGAGCAGCTAGCTGATTTAGTCGAGTATGTTTTGTATTCTTTAGTATTATATTTAGATGTTAGCATGTTACGTTGCCGTTTTTTGCAATTGTTGTTTGGACTCTTTTTGGTCTTTAAATAATTTAATAATTTTAAAATTAAATTATTAAAAAATTTAGAAATTTTTAAAGAAGGAATTACGGTTAGCTGATAGAGTTATTTTATGTTAATGTTACTCATTCAAAGTATAAACATATTTTTTTTATTAAATAAAAGAATTTTTTTTTTACATTGTCAATATTTCTCATACCTACAGTTGAATTATACGAATTATACCTAAAACTTATGCTTCGTATATAGGTAATGATCGGTTGTGCACGTTGTGCACTTGTGCCACAAGTTCTAAACTCTATTTAATACAATTTTCAATTTGGTTACACTATACGATGTACCAAAAAGGTGGTTCTTGAAATTTTAGAATTAATAATGGCTGCACAACTTTACAAAACTACTTCAGGACGTTTGTTTCATGCCGGACAAATAGCAATTATTACCGTTGGGTAAGTCTTTCAAGTTTTTTTTTCTCTAATTTAGAACTTATTTGTTACTTTGTTAAACTGAAAAGGTTGCCAGCAAGAGGAAAGACACACGTGGCGCGTTCGTTATGTCGTTATCTTCGATGGTTAGGCGTTCCTACAAAGGTTTTTAGTGTAGGAAATTATCGTCGTCATGTTATTGGAAATGCTTCTAGTTTACCGCATGATTTTTTCAATCCTGGTAGGCTTTTCATTGCATTTATTCTATTGAATTAGTTGTTTGATATTTAATTTGATTTTAATAGGAAATCTCGAGACCGCTGAAGCTCGCCATAAAATAGCAACAGAATGTTTACAAGATATGATTAAATGGTTGCAAGAAGGAGGCCAGGTTGGCATTTATGACGCTAGTAATACAACTCAAGACAGACGTAAAGAAGTACACGATATCTTAATTAGCCATAATGTTCACGTAGGTAAATTTAAAACTTTTACAATTCATGGTTGATTTATTTATTAAATAATTAATATTTATTTTATCAGCCTCTCTTTATCGAATCGATCTGTGATAAATCGGAAATTATCGAAACTAATATACGAAGTGTCAAAATTACTTCACCGGATGTAAAAAATTTTTTCTCTTTATTTGATTCTAAAATATTTTATATTATATATACAATATAAAACTTAAGGTTCTCTATTTTCCCGTAGTATGTTGGCTGGGACCCTGAGGAGGCCGTAAAGGACTATTGGGTAGATTTTTTTTCTTTCTAAAATGAGTATTGAATTTATTGAATTAAAAAAAAAAAGAAAAAATACTCAAACGTTATTGATAATTGCAAATTTAGACGCGTATAAATAATCATTTGGAACACTACGAAACTATTAATGACACGGAGTTAAGTTTTGTTAAAATGATTAATGTTGGTGAACGTATAATTGTAAATAACGTGAAGGGATATCTTCAGGTTTGCATTTGATATAATAATGATGAATTAACAAATTTTTACTCAGAAAATTTTATTTTAATTTTAGAGTCGAATTATGTTCTATTTAATGAATTTGCACATCTCTCCAAGAATTATATATTTTGCCAGGGTACGGTCATAGTGGTCATGATACATGTATTATTGATTTAGGCACTCAATATTAAATTATTCTTACGTTCTACGCGTCATTTTATATAAGTCGGGTGAATCAATGAACGAAACGTCCCAAAAAGCTGATGCAGAATTAAGTCTTGCGGGAAAACATTATGCTTACACTTTAAAAAACTTTTTATTAGCGTTGAGGGAGAGAGAGAAAAAAGAACGAAAAGAACAAGGATGGGATGACGATGAAAGAATGTTGACGGTGGGTGTTGTTTTATTTGATATTTAGTTACATCGTACAATATTATATTAAAAAAATATATATATATTTTTATAATTAAAGATCTGGACTTCAGCACGTCAGCGTTCATATCAAACAGCAAAACCTTTTCTTGATGAAGGTTTTAATGTATATCATCGTCCATCATTGGCCGAAATTAATGTGGGAGAAGCCGATAACCTTACTGTAGAAGAGATTAAGGTGATTTGAATAAGATATAATTTTACTATTCCTAATAGTAGTTGTTATTATTCACGATATTTTATATTTATATAGGCTAAATTTCCTGAAGAATATGAAAAACAACAAAAGGATCCATATCATTATCGTTATCCTAGGGCTGAAGTAGATATTTCAATTGATGCTAATAAACTATTACATTTATTATTTATTTATTTATTTAACTTTAAATTTAACAGTCATATCAAGACTTGGCAGTTCGTATCGAATCTATTATTCTTGAGCTTGAATACGAGAAAAATGATGTACTAATAATAGCTCACGAATCAGTATTAAGATGTCTATATGCGTATCTTTTTGACCGGCCAGAAGATGTAAGATATAAATTTTGGTTTGTTTATTAAGCCTTGTCTTTAATAATTCCTATTTTTCTATTATAGGAAATTCCAAGGATAGTGATTCCTCGTAATTATTTAATTGAAATAATTCCCTCCGCTTATGGATGTCGTGAAACTCGAATGGAAATTGTTGACACTTTTGTCCATTCCGTGCCTTTATTAGCTGATTTGAGTCACAATGGGAAAAAATCAGATTAACGAAAATCGAGAAAGCATTAAAAAAAAATTTTTATCATTACAACTATCATAAATGTAAAATAAATTATCAAGATACTCGTTTTATTTAATCACAGTCATTTATCTGATTATCAACTGATAGATAATCTCTCAAGAGATTCAATGACTTGTTCTTCATAATTAAAATGTTATTACGTCCTAATTATTATAGTGCTTTAGTTTTACGTTCTAGTCATTTACCAGCAAAGAATAGTTTAATTGCCTACCATAAAGCGTATCATCGGAACAATAAAGCCGACTTGACTGGTATGAAGACCAGACATATATGTTCTTTTAAATATTTCAAAACCTTTAGCTTCAATTAGTTCATATACTACTAGAAAATACAAAGAATTATTATAGAAATGACCTTTACAAGCGTTCTTCTCCAAAGTATATAAACCGTTAAAATACTTTTTTTTTAGAATAAAAGAATTATTTTTCATATTTTATTTATATTAGACTACAAAAGGAAGATTTTGATTATTTATATGGTCATTCAGTTGTATTACCCGCACTTGAACAAAAACGAAGAAAATTTCATCGATTATTCGTTCAAGAAAGCTTTATTTTCCGTAAAAAAGAAAGGTATAATTTTCATTTATCAAATATTTTTCATGATTTATAAAAATTAATTTTAATTTAAATTTAGTCGAATCATTCCTGAAAAGATTCTATCATTAGCAAATGAAGCAAATATTCCAATCGTGAAAGCGGCAAAAGATGAATTAAACAAATTATTAAAGGATGACAGGCCACATCAAGTAGGATTGTGAAATTAATTCTTTCTATTAGCGTTGATAATTCACTGAATATGGTGTTTAAAACTTTTCAGGGTATAATTTTAAAAGCTTCAAAACTTAAACCCATAAAAATTGCATGTCTTGGGAGACAATCCGATAAAATGTATTAGAATATTTTGTTAAACTGTATGTAAGAAATTTTGTGCGTTAAATTATTGATACTTGTAAAAAAATAATACATGCTAGGTATCAAGTCATCAAACCATATGAATCTCCTCTAAATATTTCGTATATTTCGTCAAATGGAACTCTACCCTTTTGGCTTGCACTTGATCAAGTTGTTGATCCACAGGTTAGGTTATTTCAACTGTATGTAATTATTTCATTATTCACTGTCGTTTAACATCAGAACGTTTAATTTGTAGAATTTAGGCGCTATTATTAGGTATGAAATAAAGAATTATTAATCTATTTTTTATAAAATAATATTAACGCATTTTTATTAAAAAGATCAGCATACTTTTTCGGTGTTAATGGGCTTGTTTTATGTTCAAAGAATAGGTTTGACTATTTATCTTTGATTAAAACCTAACGTGTCTAAGTGTTTAAAAGCCAAATTTATATATTATAGTGCACCATTATCCGCGTTCACATCTAAAGCAAGTTCGGGCGCTTTGGAACTTATGGATGTTTATGATGTTGATAATCTAGCAAATTTTTTAAATTGTTCATCACAAAATAATTGGATTATATATGGAGCAGTATCAAATTTTAATAGTAATAATTCTAATAAGAATTCTATATCTATTAATGAATTAAATAATCCTTTATCAAAACATCCCGTGATTTTAGTTATTGGAAGTGAAGGTAAAGATTAGCCATGACTTTATACTGTATATTATTTATTATATATACTTATACAAAAAATTTCTTAGGAACAGGTCTTCGTTCAAATATTTTGAATACCTGTCATTATTTATTGCATATATTATCACCAAATACAAAGAAGTCTAAATATATAGATTCATTAAATGTAAATGCTGCTACTGCAATATTATTGCATGGATTTTTTAGTAGTAAAATCTAACATTGTTAACTACATATAACAAATATTATTATAATTTAAATTATAAAATATTAGGTCTTATTTGTTAAATAATAATGATAATTAATAGTATATATGTAAAAGTGAGTCAGTAAAACACATTTAAACATCTATTTACTAATTGAATCTGACAATTCAAAATTTCATGATGCAAAAAATTATTTGAATCATTTGTTTTATTAGAAAATAAATATATAATCAATAATAATATAATAAAGATATATAATTAGTAATTTTATTTTTTTCAGTATATATAACATTTGTATTATAATTTATAAATAAAGACTGCAATTCAATGTATATAATTTATTGGCTAAGATATTATCATTTTTGGGTGCCAGAAAATAAAAAATTGATGTACTAATCATATTCTGTTTAGAAATGATCACAAGTTCTTTATTTTTGGAAAAATGTCATTGACAGAACTAATATAAAAAATGAATCTAAATACAACTTCAATGTGGTGTCAATATATTAATGAACTATACTTGTACACTTTTTCAGTGGATCCTTGATAAATATAATCTCTTTGCTGAATTTCATAATTTTCAACTGTCAACCATTCAAGAAATTGAAAAGAACCCCTTTCTATCCTTTAAAACTGATTTTTATAAGATTTTGTAAGTATTGTATATAATAGTTATTGGTTAGGAGAGTAAAATATCGGTCATCCCAAAATATTTTATCCACCATAACCAATAACTAGATTATTGTGTCAGTCACACAAAATTATGCTATTATTATAGTAAGAGTATATAAAAAGTATAACTAAATTGCAAATAAGAGAAAAATATCAATTATTTAGCTATCAACAAAAAATATCAGTCCGTCAAAATTTGCATAATCCTATTAGACTGACCAATAATCTGAATTATGATTATATTCACATTATACATAAAGTCATTAACAACCTTATGATAAAATAGTTGTCTGTCCAATATAATGCTTATAAAACAGACAAAGCTGAATCATTTTCAGATTTGGTTACAATACTGCTTTATAAGTTAATTTCAAGCTCCTTTCCAAATTCCAGCTATTGAATGCATTCACACATATTCAGAAAATTTGGTGTGTAAATTTTTCAAAAGTTAATAAGTTGAGCAATCAAGATGATATAAAAAAATTTGTGGAAGTCAAATTATTTTATGTAACTAGTAGTATTAAAACATCATAATTAATGTAATACTACTAAATTTAATGAATATCTTTCTTTTTATAGTTTACTTCTGAGTTCCAAAACTAATAATGATATTTGTTCATGGAATATTACACAATTTACTAAAAGAAATCTTTCGCGATTCAAATTTTGAATTGGTCTGGTTTCTGAGCTTGCTGTATAATTAGTTGAATCATATAATTCAATGTCTAATTTAAATAAAAGGGCGAACAGCAAGAGCACTTCCTCAAAAAGCCAATGTTGTACTAATAAAGAAAATTTGTGAGGTAAAAAACCAGATTTTAAACTCTTGAGTCTTGATAAACACAAATAATGAGATTCTTTTTAGTGAAGTTAAACCACCAAAATATAAAAACTCATCTTTATTAGTTTCTTAAGATCTTGTCAAGCTAGTGAACTTTCAATCTAGTACTTTGGATGAGTTAATTAAAAAGTATGGAAATAAAGTTAGGATGACATCCTTTGGAATGTGAGTTTATGGTAAATGCTTAGATTTGGTTTAGATTTTTATACATTTGCTAATACTAGGATCCCAAAAAATACATAAAAAGGTCACATTTGAGTTTGCTTAAAAAGAACTAAAATTTTTATGAAAATCTCTTGACTTTTTTAGATATTGCCAGCCTAAATTTTATTGTTCATTTGATACTGGCCAGTATTATCATAATTCTGGCCCTGAAAAGTTGCTTATTTTAGGCCAAAATCTTGCCGATTATTTATGACCTCCATATGTATTTTTCAAGGTCCTCTAACACTCGATTGCATTTATAAGAGTACAAATTTACATTTATCAAATAGACTTAGATTATGATGGATTATATAAGATGTATCTGGTTGCAGACATAGTTATACCCACTTAAAAATTCCAATTTATAAGTCTAATACCAATATTGAAAACATTTTACAATGTTAAAGTAAGTGACTATTGATTCACTCTCTTTGTAATTTGAAGGATTCTGTTTCTAAAGTTTTAAAAGTAATTACCTCTAACACTTCACCTTTTCTGTCTTGTTCTGATTATTGCAGATTACTCCTCCTTAGTTGTTGGAAGAAATTCTAACCAAAAATCACATTCTTAAAATGTACTTCACTCTACAGAAGAGTTCTCTACTCTCTAAACTAATATTAAACACTATTAGTAAATTTTAGACAAAAGTTAATAAACATTTCTCTTAAATTTATGCACTATGGTTTGAGTGTTTACAATGTAATAAATGTGCGAAATTCATGATATATTTGATTGGTTAAATGTCACAAGCTGAAAAATTTTATCATACCACCAGATGAAACAATTGCTAATTTGTCAATAGATCATCTGTATATTGACAATATTTCTTGTACATTTTTTTCGCTATATATACAGTATATTTGTAAGTTATTTGATGCCGAATACTAATTAAATATGGAATAATTCTCTTTGTGAAGAATCACCGTATGAACCAGCCACAATGCTCATGTATGCAAATATGACCAAAATAAATTACTCTATTGCAGAATCATGTGAAAAATCTGCTATGCTTAGAGAGTCTTGCTAAGAAAATAATTTTAATATTTTCCCTTTTTTGAAGCTAAGCTTCAGGAAAAATATGGTTTGACTGTAATGATAGTCACTTGTCACAAGTTTGTTTCAGCAAGTCATGGAATTCAATAAAGCCATAATTATCAATTACCATAGATAATAATGGCTCAGATTCACAAAAAAGAATATGTCACCACCAATTTATGATGTTTGGTAGGTAGTAACAGAAAGAAGAATAAGGATCAGTACGTTAGTAGTAATATAATATGGTGATAAATAACTAATAATAAGGTAAACATGTATATATTAACAGTCGATACTGAATGATTATAAGCGATAATATATGATACAATAAATTAAAGTAGATCAAGTGGTGGGTGTATATAATTAATAATATAATGTATACAAATAATCAATGATATATAAAAAAGAAATAAATAATATAATGATAATAAACGATATGAAACGATAATAAATAATGCGATAACATGTAATAAATTGTGTATAAATAATTCAGAAGCAAATTGACAGGTTTATTTGTTAATAAAAAGAATATGATATTACTGCTTCAACTGGCACTCTGTAATATCCCGATATCTATCTTATAACAATAAAATTAGACGAATTCAAACTAAAACTATCCCTTTTATCTTTAAACACCGGTCTTTTATATAACATTAAATTTTTAGGACAATTCTATCCTTCAGACATAATCGTCTTTCGGCCAATATTGCCTTCTGGCCAATTGTGGCGATCTGGGCACATTTGTCTATACAGCCACTTATATTCAGCCACTTTATATCGCTAAGCTTCTGCTTTTTATCTAATCTATAAACAACTAAGAACGACTACAAGTAATATAACTAAAAATAACTAAAAATAACAAAAAGATAAAAATAGAATAAAATAAAAATAAAAATAATAAAAATAAAAAATATTCTGTGACAAATACAACTCATTTAAGTACTTTTTTCATTTTTACTTGTTTATATCATTAACTATGAATGAAGTGAATTATCAGAGGGCATTTTTTTTCTTGCATTTCTGCCATCTGCTATATAGATGCTGTTAAAATTCACTAATTACACCATTTCGGCATTTCGACATAAGCCGTAAATAATTCCGTACCCGTAATAAAATGCCGTAAATCGTAAATGCCGTAATGCCATAATACAGTAATGCCGTAAGTTTATATGCCATAAATAGACTTGCATAACTTTATTTTTTAATTAAAAAAAATCAAAAAAAAAAATCTTTTTTTTTTAGAAACAGTCCTGGCAGATTTTCTGGACTTTCCGGTAATTGGGAAAGGTTTCCTTTGACGTTTATTTTTAAAAAACACCATTAACTTCATTTAATTATTTCTTTTTTTTAGGAACGGTTTTGATGGACTTCTTAGGCTTTTTGGTAAGTCAGGAAGAATTTTCTTTGACATTTATTTCTAAGAAATGACATTAACTTCATTTCTTTTTTTTTTTATTTATTAGAAATTGTCCTGGGCTCCTGGCAGATTTTCTGAACCTTCCAGTAAATGAGGATAGACATTTATTTTTAAGAAACGATGTTAACTTCATTTCTTTTTCATTTTTTTTCTTTTTGGTATAATAAAAAATTTTTTTAAAGAAAATAAGATTGTTGATTTTATTGTAATGAATTATTTAATATGACTAATCATAAAATGAACAATGAATAAATGAATTATATACTTTATTTATTATAATATTTATTTATTTTATTTACTAATTAATGTTTGTTTACCTTGATTACAAATTAATGTTTATTTAATACTAACTATAATGTTTATTTTTACTAAATATACTACATTTACTACTTTACTAATTCCTCATCATCAAGTATTGCTTCAAAATCAATATCTGAATCCTTATAATCTACAAGTTCGTCAGATTGTTGAATTCTTGAATCTGAATTTTCATCAATCTGTTCTCTAAAATCATTTAAGTTCATAATATCTGTCATAAGAAAATTATTATTAGTATCATCCTCAATAATTCCATCATTTGAAGCCACATCATCATTTTCTTCCTCATCATCATCATCAGTAAAAAGATCATCATTATTTATCATGGCTGTAGTTACTTCTCGCAATGCAGTTTCAAGTTCATCTTCACTCAAATTACTGCTAGAAAATTTTAGCTCTACCTTCGCATTTGTGATGTAATATGAATGTATCTGAGCCATTGATTCAAGCCGATTAATATCTAACCTAAAATATAAACTATTAATAAATTATATTAATATTAAATATTTTTTAAATTATATAAATAGCTTTCCTGTCATCCAATTTAATACTGAAAAGGCTCGTTCACATGCAGCTTGATGAGGAGTAATAGCAAATAATTTCAAAGCTAATTTTTGAATATAATTTTTTGGCTGTCTACATGTTGACCACAGACCACCAAAGTTCAGGTGTATCATGTCCATCTTTATATTCCATATCATAAGGAGATTTCTTTTCGCAATATGATCAAAGTTGTGCTAGTAAAATTGTACAACTATTTGTATTGCCACCAAATTTTGACCAAATTTTCATTGCAGTTAATGCCATTTGATGAAATATTTTATCTTGAAAACCATTATCTAAATAAATTTAAATAAATAAATATATTAAATAAAATAAAAACAATAAAATAATTAAGTTTACCTTGATATTTTGGGTGAAGAAAAAAAGCAACAAGATATGTATCAGTATTAAATTGTACCCAACGTTTATTAAATATACTAATACATTTTTTTTAAAAATCTAAATCCAAATAATTTGAAATTTGCTTAATTGCAACTGCCATCTTAATTAATTCCATAAATATTGATACCATATTGCTTGCATTTGCTTCAATAGCCTGAACTGCTCTTTTAGCAGGTGCAAGAACTGCTCGAAGTTGCTCAACATCTTAAAAAAACTGACGATTTTGAAGAAGGTTTTTTGTTGAAATTGCATTATGAAAAATTTCAGGTTGAGTTTCAAGAATCTAAATTATGATATAAATATTAATTATAGCTTTTATTTTAAATGTTTAATATTAACTTACATTTTTAAGATTATTTTCTAAATGAATAATCGAATCACAACAATCCCATGCAGTAGACCATCTTGTTTTTACAGATGTTTTTAAACCACCTCCTTTTGTTAAAGATTGAATAATATCTTCTTGAAGATGTGCACCTGCACGATATGATGTTTTAAAGAAAGTTATAATTGTTTGACATTTTTTAAATGTGTTTTTTGCAAAATCCAATTTGATAATATCACTTGTAATAAGATTTATATGGTGTGCCATACAGCGTATTGATAAATATAAGGATACTTTTCAGAAATTAATCTTCTTGCCATTTGCATAGCTGATTCAGCATCTGATACCACAGCTGCAAATTTTTTTGGTCCAATTGTAGTCAAAACATTTTCAATTTCAGTAGCATTAAAAAATCCAGTATGAGAATAAACTGATGTATCTTTTAAAGTATGAATATATTGCCTTTTACCTGGAGTAATTATTATAAAGGCATAAATAGATCTTTCCAAAAGATCAGACCATCCATCAACCGCTATATATAATAGAATTAAAATTTAAAATATTAATTTATACTTTTTAATTTGATATAATTTAAAATAAATTACCTAATGTTAAATCCTCTTCATATTTAAGTTCTTCTTTGATTTTTTTCAAAACTATTGCAGTTTCTTTATTCAAAATAGTTGTTGAAAGTGATGATCTTTTAGGAGGATTATAGGCAAAACAAAGACTCTGGACAAAATCTATAAAATAAGGATGATTAACGGTTGAGAATGGGATTCCACAACAAACAAAATATCGAATTAATGCTTGATCAATTCTATCCTTTTTATCTGCATCAATTTCAGCTGCTGATGAATCTGTATCTAATTTTTGTTTTCTATTTGTAGATGTAGATCCAATTGCTAACATCTCCATATATTCTGATTTAATAGCTAGTGGCACTTCCTTACAATATAATGCTAAATGTGATTTTAAAATTTCTGGTCTTCCTCTAGACCATGTTTGTATGCAGTAATGGCATTTAGCTGTATAATGACCACTATCCAATGGTTCTTTAATATAATGGTCCCAAACATGTGATTCTTTACGACCTCTTTTGACTTCTGAAACTGTTGAACTCATTTTTACAGCCACAGAGATTATGTAAAAAAAATGGGGTTCGCAGTTTGTAAGATTTATTAAATTCTTAAAAAAAAGATTATTAAAATCAAAATCAAAAGTCATGTTACCTTTATTTATTGTAAAAGTTTATGTAACACAAAAATATTTCATTTTCGAAAATTTTTTTTACAAAATTAAGTTCTGACTCCTTCCCCTTCTAATCAGTTTTGTAAACTAACAACAATTTACTGTTGATTAAAAATAAAAAAAGTAAAATTTTATTTATCTATTATCTATTATCACAAAGATAAAATATTACTTGTTGTCAATGTTTGATAAACAATAACTAGATCAAGTTTCTAAAAGAAATAGAAGTAAAATTAATTAATGACATTTCTTGAATATAAATATCAAATAACTCCCCCCTCCTTATAAACAAATGTAAAGAAAACCCTCCCACTTACTAGAAGTCCAGAAAATCTGTTAAAAACGTTTCTAAAAAAAAGAAAGGAAAAAAAAAATGAAGTTAACGTCATTCCTTAAAAATAAATATTCATGAAAACCCTCTTTCACTTACCAGAAAGTCTAAAAAATCTGCCAGGACCGTTCCTAAAAAAAAAGAAAGAGGTAACAAATTTAATATTATTTCTTAAAAATAAACATCTAAGAAAGCTCTTCCACTTACCAGAAAATCCAAAAAATCCGCCAGAATCATTCCTAAAAAAGAAGAAAAAAGAAATGAAGTTACTATCATTTCTTAGAAATAAGTGTCAAAGAAAACCCTTCTCCCATTACCAAAAAGTCCAGGAAATCTGACTAGCCATCAGGACGGTTTCTAAAAAAAAAAATGACGTTACTGTCATTTCTTAAATGCCAAAGAAAACTTTTCTCTCACTTACCAAAAAGTCCTAGAGGTCCAGATCTGTTCCTACAAAAAAGAAATAATAAAGAAACAAAGTTAATGTTGTTTCTCAAAATAAATATCGAAGAAACCCTTCCCACCACTTACCAGAAATTTTCAGAAAGTCCGTCCTGAAATTAAGAAAAAAAAAATTTTTTTTATTATAAAAAAAAAAAATAGTTACACAAGTAACACTTACGAGCAATTACGGCATATAAATTTACGGTATTACGGTGTTAAATTGAATTACGGCGTTAAATTAAATTATGGCATTACGGTGTTACGGCATTTACAATTTACGGCTTTTCATTACGGCGTTACGTCATGTGCCGTAACTGTAAAAATAATTCCGACAGCACCTATAATCTGCTAAGCCTAGTCTTCTGTAAATCTACGAGTGTCAATGCGTATATATTAGCTTTGTGCTATTAATATTATATACTAAATTTCAAAGGGCCAGTTCTATGTTTTATTCCTCTCTTTAAATGAGTTCTACTACTGATCTACTCCAATATCTTGTATTAGCTTCATTTTTTACTTAGTTGGCCGGCCCTTTTTCACGTATTACTTTACAAAATTATAATAAAAATTTTACTTTGAGTTTTTAAAACATATTGTGAATTTTACAAGTGATAGTATTTTTTTTTATAATCTACTGCATCATATTAAGGGCGTGCCAGAAATCAGCTGATTTGAAAGGGCGGGGGTAGGGGAAGTATACATAAAACTGAAATTGGTCAAAATGGTCAAAATGATTTTGACTTGAGCCCCTCCAAAAGTTGAAATAGTCGAAATTATGTTATAATTATATGATTTTATAGTAAACAATAATATTAAAATTCAAAGTTAACTAATTCCGCATCCAGTAATTTGATTTTTATGATCTTTATACGGTTGGATTCAGCTCATCAAGAGGATTTCAATGATATGTATTTTCATATCTGTAGCATCAATATTAACGGAGTTATTTACGATTAAAATTTGGTATTAAATAGTCTTATAATTTTTATAGTAAATAAAATTTTAAAATTCAAAGTTAATGATCTCCGCATCCAGTGATTCCATTTTATGATCTTTACGCGCTTGGATTCAGCTCATCAAGAGGATTCTAATGATATGTATTTCATATTTGTAGCATTAATATTGTCAGAGTTATTCACATTTAAAATTTGGTATTAAATAGTCTTCATATCGGCGAATTTGATTCATTGTCTAAATATGTTGAATTTTATACTAAAAAAGATGCAGCAAAATTAGGATGTGAAATACAATAACCAGATAAGTAGATTTAACTTTTAAAAAATACAATTTAACGTGATATAAATTTTGGCCAGAATTAGCATAATTTTGGCCAGAATTTAAAATTAATATTAATACAAAAATGATATGAAGCCAATTCTAAATTATAGGTTTCTTAAATCAAGATGAACTTACATAAATTTAGATCTTTGAAATTTATTTTTTGTTTGTAATTACCATAAAAAATATTTAAACGTTAGCCAAATAAAAAGATATCTATAGACATAATAAAAAAATAAAAATGAATGTTTTTTACACTATCTTACTATCATAAAAAGTATCGTTTATTTATTTTTAAATTTGCAATTATTGATCTATGATTTGTTTTTTTATCTTTGGTAGTTTATTATAAAACTGATGAAGATTTTATTTAAAGTATTATAAAATATAGTAAATTTACATAAGTAAAATAAAGATTTTATGCCCTTCGTATTATGAAAGTTAATGCATTGATATGTAACAGTTTGTTAATTGTTAGAGGCCATATATTTAATATGAGGATAATTGCTATCATCGATAAATTGATGACATCTAAATCAAAGAAATAAAAAAATTTATTTCTATATGGTTAAAAAAATAAATAAAAAAGATAATAAGTTTATCCTTCTAACTAACAGAGCTTTAGCAAAAAACAAACATACAACTTATCTAAGGATTCCAGGTCCATTTCTAATATTTCTTTAGGTTTAATGACAATCACGTTTTTTATTACAATTTACTGTACATAAGGT